GGAGGAGGAGGAGGAGGAGGAGGAGGAGGAGGAGGAGGAGGAGTTCTGATGGCCAGGAAGAAAATTTTGTACATGGCAAAGAACAATGGAGCCATTTCTATGAGTCTGAGATGATGTCGGTTTAGCAAAAGAGCATAAGAGACACTAGATGGCAAAGAGCCTGGCCCAGTAAGATCCCTCAGCTTTGCAGGGGTCAAGGGTCAATCACTGCTCCTGTCCTGGAAATGTAGCCATGAGTCGGTACAGTGCAGAGAGATGGGCAGGGCCTGGGTGGTGGGGATTGTCCTTGGGGGCAGCTTCTGCAAACATCAGGGACATTTGGAGAGAAGAGGGTATGATTCAGTTCAGGAGCTAAGCCAGATTAGTACCTAGATAGAGGAGGAGAGGAAGCCATGGTGCATTTGTGTGGATTTCTTGGTGACCATGGAGATTCCTGTGAGCCTGGAAACACAGCCAGAGGCTGCAGGCAGAGGGAACACTGTCCATCCAGATTGAGACACACCTGAGCCTCAAGGCTCCTGAGAACACACAGTGACAGGTGGACCTGTGCTCAGCAGAGAATCACACACACAGGACTCCCTTCCCAGTGAGCACGGAGATCCTACACCTAGGACCATGGGATGAGAGAAGAAGGGACCCATCCATTGACAGCAGCCAAGGGTCGCCACAATGACAATGTGCCTAACTGTCAGTCAAAGCTATAAGTTGCACACCACATGTACTCCATGGATATTGACATGACACAATTGTATCCCTCCATCCATTCTGACTTCACCCCAGCTGTCTAAGGAGCTTGGAGTTGAATATCCTTCATCTGACCATGGGCTAGATCTGAAACTTATGGCCAACTTCTGAGTCCACCTCTTACTGGAGTCTAGGACCTAGATGTCAGAGTTTGTTTCTCCTCATTCTCTGGGAATTAGGCTTCTCAGCCCCTTTGCAATTGCATATAGTCTAGATGATGAGCCCTCTATAGGGAGAGACCCAGTGTGCAGCAGAGTTAACAACAGGAAGTGACTGTGGAATGGGGTGATGTGAGGTTCTCAAAAGCACCATGTGTCTTGTCCTACCGACCTTGCTTCTGTCAGAGGGCTCACCAGGTATCATCATAGTCTGACAACTGATTATCTTGTGATTCTGAGCAAAGTACCCACCAGAGGTACTTTCCACGTGGTCACACCCACACATCAATAGTCAGAGGACATCTACCATGGAGCACATCAGGAGCACGAGCAACAGCAGTGACCGGAATGATGAGGCTCATCGAGCCCGCGGCCCTTCTTCCACACTCTACTTCCGTGACCTCTTCATCCACATCAGAAAACGAATTCACAACTCAAGCCTATGCAGAGCACCTTCTTTCCAGGTGGTGTGTGGTTGGCCCAGCCTGCAGGGCTGGAATTCAAGGTCTTCCTGTGCAGCAGTAGGAATGGAGAATGGTGTAGTCTTTAGAAAGGTTGATGCAGCAATCACACTGTAGGCAGGTACTCAGAGGAACAGGAAGCAAGGAATGGCAGGCACCGCAGCCAGTGTCCACCATGCTTCTTCATAGTCGGCAAAGGGCTTGTGACCCCAGTGTCCCCCAACTGATGCATGAATGAGCAGAGCTTGCTCAGGCCACACACTATTACTGCTTTAGACAAACTAGGAAGGTGCCGTTTCCTGATGCCATGTGTGTGGGCCTGCCAATACACTCAAAGGGAAAGAGCCAAACACAGTAGGGCCTGTGTCATGTGACCCATAGATATGTGATATCCAGAACAGGAATTCATGAGTATAGAGGGTGTTCTAATGGCTGTCAGGTGCTATGGGGAGGAGAGGGTGGGGTGACTCATCAATGGTTATGCAATCTGTTGAGCAGTGGCTCACAGCTTGAAACTAGACACTGGAAAATCACTTCGTAGGTAGATAGGTAAGGTGGCTACACAAGGGCCAGACAAGAAAGAAGTATGAGTCCTGAGGGGAGATTCTCTGAGCTTTAAGGATGTGAAAGGTCTGGGCAGGAGAGAAAAGGAGCAGCTTCAGGGGGAACTTTTGTGAAGTATGGAGTGGGAGGACACAAGGCTCAATCCAAAGTCTTTGGGAGAGGGGAACAGAGCTTCTCTGTGTCACTCCCAGGCCTGCTGAGGAGGACTGGTCCAGCTGCAGTCCCGCTTTGCCACTTCCCTGGCTTTGCCCTTTCACAGTGAGGAGAAATAGAAATCCATTTTAGGATCTTTTGAAACATTCCACCTTCTGGGACCTAGGAGGAAATAGCTGAGCGTGAGTTTAAGGTCAGTAGGGTAACCCAGTGATGCTGTGTCAAAACCAAAATGTAAGAAGAGAGTTATGCACATGGATAACACACACACACACACACACACACACACACACACTTTCACCAACACACAGACAAATATTGCACATCTGCCCAAGGATGACTCAGTGTTAGGACATTTTTTTATGTGACAGGCTCTGTGTTCAAGTTCCAGTGCTCTCCCCAAAAGGAAAACCCATCTTATGAGGATTGTGGACATAATTATTGACATTTTTACTCTTGATCTTGGCAAACATTTTGACTTTCTTGTCACTGAGAAACAATTTGAGGGTTTCTGGTGCTTGAGGTCAGGACTGTACTTTGCACCCTACCCCACCCACAGCTCCCTTCACAGTCAATGGGTGCATGACAGTGTGAGCTCCAAGGACTGAGTGAGTCCATGCCAAGTGTTAAAAACGCTGGCTTTTATGTAACCTGAGTCTATATGGTAGGAAAGAGGAAAAAAATCTTTTTTTCTCTCTTTGGTTGGCTGGTTTTTTGAGACAGGCTTTCTCTGTATAATTCTAGCTTTCCTGGACCTCACTCTGTAGACCAGGCTGGCTTCAAAGAGATTCATCTGCCTCTGCCTCTCACGTGCTGGGATGCAAGGTGTGCACCACCATTAGCAGCTTTGAACATATCATGGAGAACAAGAATGTGTAACATTTACTCCAACACCTTCCAGAGGGTGAAGAGGTAGAGAAACATACATGAGAGGCAACAACTGTGCAGATGCACATACCACATATATGCACGTCATATGTATATACAATGTGATGTGTATATATCACATATGTGTGATGTAATGTGTGCATATCAGGTGATATGTCTACATGTACACATGATGGGATGCACATAAAATGATAGCAAGATGGTTGGGGAAGGAAACCTGGCGCACAGAATTCTCTCTGTGCTTATTCAGCCAGGACATTTATTACTCCATCTCTGACTAGCAGGCTGAAACTTAGAGCCACTCAGTTCCTGCTGAGATAGAACAAAGGCCACATTACTTAATCCTCCGCTGTTAGGCTACAGGTGTTAATCACCTAAGCCAGCAGCTTTTTACCCTCAGAAAGAGCAAGAAAGATTTGTTTTAGATGCTATCATCAGCGTTTCAGTACAGTTAGAGAGTTAGAACAACCAGAGACCCTCACATTTTAAAGCCACACTAGAGTTCTACTCTGTGCCCATGGCACTACTCTCTCTGAGCCAGGAGGCTCCCAGCACCTTCCCACTGTTGAATTAGTATAAAATGGATGTTCAACATGTAGAAATGACTATGTCAGGCAGGAAGTTCCCAGGCATTCAATCTCAGTGAATGACAGTGTTTACAAGCACATATCTGCCCTCACCAAGACTATTTACCTCAATTGCACACTGGGTCCCTCCCTTTAGAGGGTTTAAAACACAGGCAACAGTTGATGAATAAGAGAGGAGAAACTTTCAACGCCCAGGGAGTGAGGAAAAGAAAACCCTGATATCTAGGTTCTAGACTGGAGAAGAGATGGACTCAGATTTAGCCAAAAGTTCTAGAACCAGCTCACCAACAAAACAAGATGCATTCAGCACCAGGCTCCTTAGATACCCAGGATAAATCCAGGAAGGATGGAGGGATATATCTGGAGCTTGTTAGCATTCATGAAGTGCATGTGGTGTCCCAGTCTCAGGGTGATGCCTGACAGACAGACACACTGGGAAGACTGTTGGGACATTTGATTATTTCAATAGATGAGTCTTCTTCTCTTATCTCATGACCATCAGGGAAGGGTACATGATTGCTCACTGGGAACTGGGGTCATGAGTGTGGCCCACTAGACTTCAATTCTCTAATGACCTCTCGTCTACTGCCCAATGGGTATACTTAGGAGCCTTAAGACTCAAGCAAGTCTCAACATGAATATATAGCTGTCCCTCTCCATGTACACCACTGACTGTGTTTGCAGTCCCAGAGGAATCTCTATGAACAGCAGGTGCCCCAACCCAAATGCACCTTGACCTCCTCTCCTCCTCCATGGAGACAGTAAGCCAGGTCGTCCCACTCTCCTCTCCAGCTGTGTCCTGATGTTCCCCAAGACTTCCCTCAATGGCAATCCTCACCCCTCACAACTCAGTTCTCTGCATTGTAACCTCACACAGTACCTTTCTCAAGTGAGAAACTTTGTCCGAATCCTCCAATGCTCCCTGTGGCTCTGAATTATTCAAGAATCCTCAAGGAGCCAGGCTCATTGCCACCCTGTGGCTGTCCTCATCCAGGTCTGACATCAGTTCCTTGATCTTCCCCTGGGTCTGGTTGCTCACATAGCCATTGATGAAGTTTTTGGCCTCATGTGGCTGCTGGAAGTCAACTGTGAAGGCCTCTGCCTGGTACAGAACCCTTATCTTCTCCTGGAATTCTTCCAGGATCTGCAGAAGGTTTTGAATAAACATGGCACTGCCTATGCTGATCTGTTCCTGGTCCCCTGACTGGCTGAGCCGCTGTAGGAGGTGCCCAAACCCCCTGTGGATGTCTGCCTCAAGGATCTCTGTGAGACTGAACTTGAGACCTTCTAGAATCTCTTCCATGGTGTTCCCCTTTGCTCCCAGGGACACAATGGCCAAGACACCAGAGATGCTAAGTGGGGAGAAGACAACATTTTTATCTGGATTCTGCAGAGCCAGCTCCTTGTAGAGGCTGAAGGCAAAGCCAGTGTTGCTGGAGGCCAATGTGAGACTGACAACTTGTCTTCCATTTTCTTGAACATGCAATGCAGTGTCCAATTCCAGTGTGTCATTTGGGAAGCAGAGGACAGCAGGGCAGATCCCGGCCATCAAGATCCACAGAGCTGCAGTGAAGGCCATCTTCTGTGTTCTCTGGGCCAAAAGGAAAGCATCCTTTGAGTCTGGGAGGACCAGCTGGTGCTCTGACCATCTCCTAGTTCTCCCTCCTGGGGAGCAATGTGCGCTGCTGTGCTGCCCTTCCTGCCGCTGGGACTGCCCACAGGAGGTGCTCTGGACACTCAGATGTCAATACTATATCATATACTCCCTACTGCCATGGAGTAAGTGTTGTTGCAGAAGCCAATTCTCAGAGTAGAGAAACAAGATCAAGAGATTTGATTTAGGGTCATAGTGCAAGCCAGAATAAAAGTGGGCCATAGGTGTGAGCTCTGTCTACACTTTGTGCTACCTCCAACTGCTGCCTAGTTAGATGAACTCTGGAATGGTGGAGGAGTTCTTATCACAGGTCCTATCTTAGCCATTTGATGACAAGTCTGAGAAATCTTAAGGGCCCTGAGTTTATTTGGTGCATGAAGCTAGGTGTGAGGAGGGCTAGTTGAGAGGCAGCAGGAAAGATATCTCATGCAGTGTGGAAATCCTGGAGCCATGGAAACTGACGGTGGCAGGACACACAGCCCTGTCATGGAACCACATGGTTCTTTGTACCTCAGGATTGGAAGAGCTCCTGGTGGGAAGAACAACAAGTGATATCGGTCTCTGACATCTGGATCAGATTTTATGTTGGCTGTGTGGTAGCAAACAAGTGGGTGGACCTCTCTGTGCAGCTTGGTGAGGGGTCCAGGTTATATTATTGGTAAATGGCTGGTTTATTGTTAGAATTGGGAGTAGTTGTTTGGAATGTCTAGGGGTTCATCTATACACCTGGTGTGCAATCACGGTAATCACGGTTATCTATCGGTAGCCTCTAACCATTTGTTCAGATGTGTAAACGTGAAGGAAGAAGGTAATTGAATGGGAGGCAGAAGAAGTAAAGAGAGGAGAGAGAGGTTAGGAATGGGGGGAGAATAGTGAGGAGGAAGGATGGAGGGGAGAGGAAGAAGGAGAGAGCAGAAAGGTTAGAGAAGAGAGGGGAGCAGAGAGAGGATGGAGGAGAGAGGAGAAGAGGTAAGGGGGAGCAGGAAGGGATAGGAGGAAGGAGGGAGGGAAGAGGAGGGACAAAGGAGGAGATAGGGGAGATAGAGAAGAGGGAGGGGAGAGAAGAGTAATGGGGGAGGAGAGAGAAGAAAGGACAGCTGAGGGAGGAGAGAAATGGGAGGAGGGAGGGGAGAGAGAGAAGAGGGAGGGAAGAGGAGAGAAGAGTAATGGGAGAGGAGAGAGGATGGAGGAGAAATGAGGGAGGAGAGAACTGGGAGAGTAGAAGTTTGGAGAAAAGAAGGAGAGAGATATGGGAAAAAGAAGGGCGAGGAGCAGGAAGAGGGAGGGCAAAGGGAATGGGAGGAAGGAGAGGGAGAGAAAGCAGGAGGAAGCAAGGGAAGAAGTCTGGGAGAGAACACTAAAAGAGCATACAGGGAGCTGGAGGTAGCAGAGAAGGGTGTGTTGGCTCTAGGCCACTTGTCCCCATTGCTGTGACATGCCTGAAGATGTGCCAGTGACCTCAACAACTTGGCTGCCTTTACCCTGTGCTTTATTTTCAGACTGATGCAACCATTTCTTTGGAAAAGCATTAAAAAAATAATTTTGTGCCAAAATTATTTCCAGAGAAAAGAGGTTGCTCCATTCTTACAGCAGGAGACATGGCTCAGTGATTGAGCCTTGTTTGCCTCCCTAGTTGAGGGTGAATCCCCTCTGCTTGGCCAGGGGCTCTGGCATCTAAGAGGGAAGTGGGGTCTCAACACCTCAGGCATCTCCTCTGTGATATGAGCAAGACAGAGCTGTTGTCTCATCCAGAGTGACTCTGAATAGTTCTGTCTCACCCTAGCTATGACAGCAGCATGCATGGTAGGAAAGTTCTCAAAACTTCTGCCCTGTGGAGTCAGAGGAGCAGGCCCATTTATTCTCCATGAGCATAGACCACAGCATCTGCATTTTCCATTGGCAAGAGAAACAGATCAGAGAGAAGATTTTATGAACCCCAGAAATGTTCCCTGATTCTCACCCAGTATCTCAGACAAAGCCCTTCCCCCACACCCACAAACATAGATTGTAGGCCATAGTCAGTACTGCACAGTCCTGGGACGATTCCTTCTCTGTCCCTGGAGTCAAGGAATCCAGGGCATTACCTGCTGAGCTGATACCAGCCAGCTGCCAGGCTCTGTGAAAGCTGATTCCTGATGTTCAGGCTTGCCGCTTGCCTGGCCTCTTGTTCTCCCCAGTGAACAGTGATGTCTATTTATTCTCACCAAGGGCTCCTCCCTCCTCTTAGGAAATGCTGGCATGGACAAGCTGTGGTCTGAGTTCAGATTAGAATTGGGCAGGCAGGATGATTTTGGGTAACATGGATTTTTAGTCTCTAGCAGAACTACCTTCTGATGGGACAATTCCCACCTCTTCTCTACACATGTCTACTGGATCTCCTGGACATGTCATCTGTTTATCAAATGCTTCAAAGTTGATGTGGGAAAGGGAGGAAGTCAGAAGCAAACCAGGGTGCAGGGTCTCTGCCCTACTTGTCACCAGGGAGGGCTGCAGCTTCATCATCTAAGTCATTTCAAAAGGAACAGTGAAAACTAACGAGAAAATCCACTAGCCCTTCTTTATACAAATATTAAATTTGGCCAAGAAGGAACTTAGAGAAACAATGTCCTTCACAATAGACAATAGTAATATAAACTATCTTGGTTTAACTCCAACCAAGCAAGGAAATGTTCTGAAGGACAAGAACTTCAAGTCTCTGAAGAAAGAAATTGAGGAAGATATCAGAATATGGCTAGGTCTCCCATGCTCATGGATTGCTAGGATTAACCTAGCAAAATGGCAATCTTACCAAAAGAAGTTTACAGATTCAATGCAATTCCCATCAAAATTCCAACCCAAGTATTTACAGGCCTTGAAAGATCAATTCTCAAATTCATATGGAAAAAAAAACAAGCAGGATAGCGATAAATTATCTTGTAAAATAAGAGAACTTCTGGAGGTACCACCATCCCAGATTTTAAGCTATATGACAGAGAAATAGTAATAGAACCCAATGCTATTGGCATGAAAACAGACATATTGATCAATGGAACCGAACTGGCTGACCTGGGATAACCCAATGAGCAAAGAAAAAGTTTAGCTTTATTCACAGTTTCAAAGTCTATAGTTCAGGGTGTGCTGGCTCCAATGCTGCCTGCCCTGAGTTTATTTCCAATGTCTATGACTCACTGGTGCCCAGTTTCTGCCTCTGTCTTTCCCTTCTCCCGGCCCAAGGCTCTGCCACCCACTCCCCTTTGGAGGACCTCTGACCCTAACTACATCTGGCAGTGTTGGAGCCCAAAATCCTGCAGCCGCGAGGGGCCTGTTGATCAAACCAGCTCCTCTCCCCATAGTACTCCTACTCAGGGCAGAGGACTAGCCTTTCCCTAAGTTCCCAGCTGACCAACCAAGCAGATCAGATGGACACCCCCACAGCATGAAAGCATAGGAGCAAAGGATCAATAAACATGTAACTGCACAGAAAGTG